TACTTTTTAAAAAAAATAAAAATGAACAAAAAAATATTTAAAAAGTCAAACCTAAGATTTAAGTATAGTTGCCATGTCAATTCCCTAGTAATTCATTAACAATTGACGTATACAAATTAGAATTAAAAAATTCTACTACTATATTTTATATTTTTGACATGACATGACACCGAGAGAGAGAATGAGGAAAGACAAAAATTTAGTGAAGGCCATTTTCATGACAATTGCATCCTCTAAACCAAAAATGATTAGATACTTTTAAAATAATGCTTCACAATGTTAATTACTTATTGACACTTCTCATGTAATTTTTTAAAACATTAATATAAAACTGATGACCCGCATTACATGGACCAATAACTACTTATTATCACTAGTAAAAAGAAATACATGATTTATGTAATTTCCCACTATGTTTTACTATTATTCATAGAAAAATTATGCGAAGGAAGCTTTTTTAGCCATCTTATTTTCTGCTTATGTATACACTAATAAAAAAAATCATTAATGATTTGTCAAAAATATAGTATAAACTTATTTCTGAAGTACTGAAAAATTTCTTTTTGACATCATTTTTATTTATTTACATACTTGTAATAACATTTATTAATTGTGGCTCACACTACAATATATAAGAGTTTTAAAGACTAAATGTTTTGATTTTTAAAAGTGAAAATTTTATTGCAAAAGACATTTAGGGACCAATTTCCATCGTCATGAGGATAGTCGCTAAAAGGTCATTCCGAAAAGTAAAAAATAAGGCTTTTAGCGACAAAATTTTAAAAATGTAACTAATCAATAGACTATAATTTGATCTTAAAATGATTTATTTTTTGAGATAAAAAATTTTGTCTCAAAAGGTTAATAATTCATCACTAATGTTTAATTTTTATTGCTAAAAATATAATAACGACATTTTTTGCAACAAAATTATTTGATCCCTAAAAAATAATTTTGTCCCTAAATTTTAATCTCTAAAGCCTTAATTTTTTTTGTAGTGTCAATGTATTTAAATTGCATAATTAGGATATTTACATTAATTAAACGTGAATTTATAAATTAGTAGTACTATCCTCAAATAATTATAGATTCATAAAAATAAAAATAAAAATAAAGTTATGACTTTAATAATTAAAGTGTGTAAAGTTTACCATAAATTTGTAATTATTTTTCAAAAGTAATGATTTGTTATTTTCCCTTAATTAATTAGATCTATTTTGAGAAGTAAGTTAGTCACTCCTCAGCTTTTAACCCGCTTCATTCTCACACAAAAAATTTTAAAAAAAATTAAAAAATAACTTTTAACTATCTTTTCAAAATATCATTTAATTACACATTGAAATTAGCTTAGTGGTCAACTTTTTACCTGCAAATAAAAGCTGGAATCTCCTATCCTCAAAATTCGCAATGCCTCTACTTGTATTTGTGTTGATTGACCCTTACAATCACGAGAAAAAAGATACATCAAAATTTTCTATGGCTAGTCATTTATAAGGTGTCAAGGTACCATTGCCGCAGCAAAAGAAGAATAATGATATATCTTCTTAATTTTGAAATTTTAATTGAATTTTAATGATGTGATAAAGAGAGAGAAAAAAAAAATATAACATTAATATGTGCGGCCCACTCTCTAAAGATCATTTAGAACTCTCAAACATTTATGACAAATGAATTGTCAAAATATCCTCATGTAATTTATTGGAGACTTTAATTAAGGAAATTTTATCGATCTACATAAAATTGTGCTCATAAAGGTTGGGACGACCTTGACAATATGGTGACTCTCATTATAGTTGTGCGAACATCTCAAAAAGTTGTTCTTGCCAATACCTTATGTAGCATTTTGAAAAAAACAAGGATTAAAAGGGGAAGAATTAAGGGTTGGGGGGGATTGATTCAGATTATTAATAGTCAAAAGAAATAAATAATTTATAACGTCCCACTGAGTTTTACTATTGTTTGTAGAAAAAATCATAATGAATTAGTCTTGACAAAGCTTGTTTTTAGCCATCTTATTTTCTACTGATATATACACCAATAAAAATAAAATAATCAATAACAAGTCACAAATTTGTGCCTTTTGATTATTTTGTTTGTTTCAAAATTTTAGTGGTTGTTTGCAAGGATCACAACATTGAATTATGTTGCTCCTTTTGGTTACTATATGTAGTCTTTTTGGATACAATGCTTTGCTTAAAAGCTAAAGGTGAAAGCAAAGGCAAAAGATGTTAACAATTGTTAAGAATAGGAATGAGAATGTGGCTTTGTTAGTACAACTCCTTTGCAAAACTCATATGAAGAGCCTCCACCTCTCAAAAGAAGGTGCACTCCCATAATATATGTACTTCTAGTGATATCTGTGGCATACAAACTCATCATTTGGCATTGACCTTTTTAGTTAGCTTTTTTTGTATTAAGATTTTTTTAGCTTGACTTTTTTAATTTCCTTTATTTTAATTTTTTGATTTTTTTTGACTTTTGTGAGAGAAAAAATGTAATGATTATGATTTAGATGTGACATTTTTTTATTTTATTAACTTATATAGCCAATTTTGTCTTTCTGTGTTTTTTTAGCTAAAAATCTAAAACCAAACGAAGCTTAAGGTTGCGTTTGGATTTAAAATTTGAGGAGACTTTTATGGACAGGAAGGAAAAGATAATGAAATAAAAGTTAAGGCTTTGTTTGGTAGAGCTTTCTAGAGTTAATTCCACCGTTTGGTTTGAGGTAGGTGTTTGGTTACAGTTTTTAAAAATTGATTCGACACTCACTTTTGCAAATACATCTATCTGGTCATCCCCCTAGACGTCCCCTTGGACGTCCAGCCGGTTGTCCAAAATAGTGTTTTTTTTTTTTTTTTTGCACATGTTATTTTTATATTTTAAATAAAAAATGTTTTCTTAATTTTTTTTTATGAGCTTTGAATAGAATTTTGGATTGTGTGCTTGGTTATGAGTTATAAATTTTTGAATCGAATATCATATGTCACATCATTCATTTCAAACTCAATTCAAAACTTATTAGACCATCTTCAATGGTTAAGCAAAACCATCATCAAATTTGAATTTGATGAAAAAAAATAACTTTTTTGGCTCTAACAGTTTCAACAAACTGATATCAAAATGAGAATCGTCCAAAAATTTCACCAAATTGAGGAGCTGGGTAGATTTTACCAAAACCTTGTGCATTTACGTTGGAGGTGGGTCCCACCAGACAACCGGCTGGACATCCCACCAATCGTCTCGCGGGTCGTCCCTATGGGAATCAATTGATTTTAAAGGTTTTTTGGGGGCAAAGGCAAGGTTTTGTCGATGATATCATTGGTTTTTTTTTTTAATGATTTGCTTGGTGGGTCTGAGATGTTTGGTGTTTCATTGAGGATTCAAGTGTAAAATTGGAGTTTTTTTTTCGATAAGATCGTTTGTGGGGTTTTACTAGCGCCCCCCCTGCTGAAATTGTACCCGATAGGCAATTTCATCCGTCGATGGACGTACGGATGGTGACGTGTAAGGCGGAGACCAGCCGGGGAGGGCGCTATATATAATATTACTAGCGCCCCCCCTGCTGAAATTGTACCCGATAGGCAATTTCATCCGTCGATGGACGTACGGATGGTGACGTGTAAGGTGGAGATTAAATCCGTACTCACACCAAATAGTAATCACTATTTGGTGTGAGTGGTGTGAGTAGACGTGGCCGGATCCTGTCCACCCACGTGTCACGATCATGGTGTTTTTGCTTGGAGATAAAGCAAAGGTGCACAGAATTCCGCGTGAATGAACAGTAATGGGCGGGAATTCAAATTTTAAATTCTGAATCTCCGTATTTACAGCTGTCTATATATCTGGGTCCAGCCTCAGATATTTGTCGGTGGAGAGAGATATGAGAGATATGCTTTTGCAGTTGGAGAGTTATTACACTGAGGTGATTTTCTGGTACCTTGTTTCGTCCCTCCTTTTCTTTCTGCCATTTTTGTCGATTTATTTGGTATACAATGTTGTACTACTTAGAAGAGTATCCCGAGAATTACGGGCTGTTCACTCAAATGTGTGTAGATCGCTTTTTGACGTGGCAACTAGGACTGTGGGAAGAGAGCCGGCGGAGAGCTCCGGTGAAGTTTGGACTTTTATTGTAGACATCAATGGTGAGTTGGAAATAATTCAGGTTTATTGTCTAGAATTGGAAAATTTTTCTAGTTAGGTGAGGACATATCGGGGAAGAGATTCTGAGAGTCTTTTTTGACGATTTTAAGATCTTGAACTTGAAAATCTCTTGTTTGAGTAGGGTGGTTTTGGTTGTTGCTTGTGGTAATTGTGCTTGTGCTCGTGGGTGTGGATATCCATTGTTTCTTGGGGGAAGAAAATGAGTTCAAATGTTTCAGAAAGTGTAGTTTAGAAAGGGAAAAAAATTTCAGTCGCTTAACCGATCAACCGGTCGGTCATCCCACCGGACGTCCTCAATCTTTTGATGCAAGCCGTTGAAGCACCTCGTATCAGATTGAGGAAATCGCCTTTTTTTTTTTCCAGATTTGATGAAAAAAATAGTTCACCGTTGGAGATGCTCTAACCAAATAAATTTTTCACACTCAAATCATAATTCAAAAACTCACAAACTCAAAATACAACTCTATTATCAAATCATAATTCTAAAATTTTACTAAACACTACCTAAATTTTTGTCAAATTGTTATTTGCTTTTCTTTATTTTCAAAAATCTCATCTCAAATTTATGATTAAAGAAAGTCTGAGGAAAAGTGCACACTCTTAAATAATTGGTATATGGTTAAGTGGCAACCTATTGCTTCATCTTCGAGTCTTTCCATTTTAGGCAATGCAGTTTTATTTGATCATAATCAATGCAAGTTATGTTGGGAGGCAATTAGTAGGCTTGTCTGATACGCTTTGTCCAATGATTCTTTTTTTTTTTTTTTGTGGATACATCGGAAAGGAAACAAGAGCAGAAGAAAGAAAAAGAAGAAGGAAAGAAGGGAGGCACTCAGGAATTAGATTCTCCGATATGCCATCCCCACCATATCAGCCACAATTTGGTTTCTAACAGCAATAAGTGGTTCATCTACCACCACCAATGGATCCAATTGGTCAGCTCCCATGTTGGCTAATAAATCTACACACTTGTTACCCTCTCGTAGAATATGTTGAATAGAGCAATTACACCTGTGGATTAGGTGTCTAGAATCCTCCACTATGCTTCTGAAAGGGCAGTTTGAAGGTGGCCTTTTATTGAGCAATTCTTCAGCTAAGGTAAAGTCCGTCTCGATGATAACTTTGTGCAAACCCTTCTCTAGCACCATTGTTAAGCCCTTGTAAATACCCCACATTTTAGCCTCCAAACTATAACAAGAGTCAAGCTTACCAAAAAATCCACACAACTAAGAGCCATCTCCATCCCGAAATACTCCCCCAAAGCCTCCTTCACTTGGATCTCCTCAAGCACAACCATCGGTGTTGAGCTTGATTTTACCTGCAGATGGCGGCATCCATTTAACCATAACATGAGTTAATCTATTACTAGTCAAAGAAATAGAGAAAGCATGTTTAATCTTATTAACATAATTAAATGTTAGAAAAATTGTTCTCTGCCTAGAAGGAGCAATATCATGAAAAACTTTTCTATTCCTTTCTTTCCAAATTTGCCAAATAGTAACAGCAAAAATGAGGCCCCAATCTGGACCCACGTCCATGCCATTACGTAAATTGGATTTGAGCCAAACATTAAGGGGACTCAACATGGCCCTAGAACTTTGATAGCTTCCCATTAATTCATTCCAAACAAATTTGGGATAAGTACAACCACGAAGCAAATGTTCAACGTCCTCCAAAAGATGATTGCATCTAGAACAGTTTGCATTGTCCGTAATTCCCCTTTTTAACCTCATAGAATTGGTAAGGAGTTTACCATGAAGAGTCAACCACAAAAAACCTTTAAGCTTCTGTGGAATTTTTAATTTCCAAATCCAATCCATATTAATAGAATTAAATCATTGTAGTTCACTCCAGTTGATAGCAATTAATGGAAATTAAGCACAATCATAGTCAGTTTTTGCATCTAGAGTCATCTAGCACCTTAGCATAATAATAGATTTTAGCATTGGTGTGAGGGATGAAGCAAAACTAAAAGAGAATAATAAGAAGAGGAATGAATCAACTCACAAAAGTTGAGTTAGATATAATTTGACTTTTGCAATTGGAAGCAATCCTTTCTAGTAAACTTTTAGAGTATCTCTAATAGTGTATTATGAGCTATTTTGAAAATTTGGGTAAAAGTCAATGACTTTTAATTTATTTTGGATCACGTCACTTTTTTATTTTTTTATATATTTTTTCAAAAAAAGTCAGAAAAAGTCTTCTTTTTTTTTTTTTTTTTTTTTTTTTTGGTAATAAAGTTAGAAAAAGTCAAAAAATAAATTTTTAACCAACTTTTCAAAACGAGCCTATTTTTATGTTATTTTAGCATTAAAAATAAATTTTCTACAAAATTTCTTTAGCAGTGTGTAAAGTTTATCATGCTAAAATAGCATAGTACTTCAACTATATATATATATATATATATATTTGTACTATTTTTATTTATCCATCTATCGATTACCATTCTTTTACATATCAATTAAAACATTTCTCATATTATCAACTATCATTCCACCCAAAACATATTCATTGTAATTTGAGTTAAATTTTTCTTAATGTGATGCTTGATATTGCAATATTTTAATTTATTAATTTAAGTCAAATTTACGATAAACAATGCAAATGGAAATTTAATAACCAATACATGGGATTGTGCATAGATTAATTCTTATCTTTCTATTTAATATATCTTATTTTATTTGTAACAAATTAACTCTTACTAATTACTACTAAATTAAATTTCAATTATAATAATAGATATAATTTTATAAAAAAATTCAACCGGTAATATAAATGGAACTGTAATATTTTTGGATAACATATTTTATACTACTAGGTGAGTTTTTTATACTATACTGTTTTATTTTAATATCAGAGTAATAATATATAAACATAAAATTTATACAAAATTTTTATATAAACTAATTTGATTCAGTGTAGACATTTCACTTTAAACAAAACCGTTATTAAAATGACTTCAACTTATGACAATGACAATATTACATGATTTTTGCTAACAAATATTCTTAAGGTACAAGTAAAAGACAAAATATTTATAAAACACAGAAGTATTATTTTCACTAACTTCAATACAATTTTATTGAAATGAATATATTTTTTAATATTTTCATATATTTTTAAAATATTTTTTACATACTTTCTGATATTAAATAATGCTTAAAAACACTTACTAGTATTTTTCATATTGCATTATACTTGTAATTCTTCTTATTAGACCTAAACATTTACATTAGTCAGCTTTAGTTCATAGGAGAACTTTCCATGTTTTCAGGTTGTGGCCCACTTGGGGGAACACAAAAATATCAAACATAATGCTTTACTAATTTTTTATTCATCTAATTACATGTGACTATTACTTGACTGCTAATACCAAGAAACTAGGGTTGCAAATGGAATTAGAAACTTTCACCTTCGCTTTCTCCCTTGGATGCTTCATTTTTTTATTTATTAGTTGTCATCATTGGGTAATTAGAAAATAATGCAACCCATGATTGCATAGCCATCTATTGTTTGACACATGTCAAGATCATATGGATTCTTACTGCATATAAAACTTCACCAGCTATGAAAATTTATTGATTAGTCCTACACATGCTCATATTTTGAGTGTTATTTTGAAAGGTGTGTTAAAAGTTATTTTTTTAATAATGATTTAGATTATTAAAAAATATATTATTAATAGTACTAATATATTGAGAATGACAAAAAAATAAATAAATAAATAAAAACAAGGCATAGAAAGTGGACGGGCCTGCTGTCACATTATTAGTGCTCCCTCTAGTGATCCATTTTTAGTGTTCCCAAACATTTTTCTTATTTTTTAACTTTTAATTCACTTTTCTCTTTTACAAAAAAGTCAAAAAAATTAAAAAGTAATTTTTAATCATTTTTCCAAAGCATTTCTAAGTTAATCACAAACTTTGAGTTACGATTAGTAGAGTTTTAGAATTATGATTTGAGAATAAATGGGTGTTTTGGAAAGTTGGTAAAAAGTTGACTTTTAACTTTTTACCAAGCTTTTTGGCTTTTTTTAAAGTGATTTGGGAAGTTGGTAAAAAACTGACTTTTTTGATTTTTGATTTAGGCCAAGTTTAGCAAGTCCAAAATAAGCCAAAAAACCAAAAAATTACTCAAAAAGTTAAAAAGTTAACACTATTCACCAAAAGTCAACAATTACGGCTGCACAACTTCTAATTCTAATTTTCTCTTACAAACCAATTTTTACAATTTTTTATTACACATTTTTTCATAAAAAGTTAAAAAGTTAACCCAAACATCTATATTTTCTTCCTAATTTTTTTAGTTCAAAAAGACAAAAAATGTACTTATTTAGGACACCCCAAACAATTCCTTAATATTTTTTAAAAGTGTCACATCACTCTAAAATGACCAAAATATCCTTACTTTTTAATTAAAAATACTTTTTTAAATTAATTAAATATAATGTTCCAGAGGGTAATTTGGTAAATTTTTAAGTGGCTTTTTTGGGTCTTCCCAAATGGGAGGTTTGGCGTTTTAGGAAGTTGTGGCGTTTTGGGAAGGTTTGGAAAAACACAACTTTTTTATTTGTTACCAAAACAGCACAGAATTGTATTTTGAGTTTGTGAGTTTTGAAATTATAATTTTAGGCTAAGTTTGGCATCTACTAAATAATACAAAAAGTCACTATCTTATTTAAGTCACATCATCTTATTTAAATCACATCATCTTTCTAACACATCACATCAAACCTAACCCAAACCCAACCCATATAAGCCAATAAATCAAAAAGTGCACTTTTTTAGAACATCCTAAACCAACCCTTAGTGTGAAAAATTTGTTTGGTTATGAGTTTTGAAATGAGTTTTGAAAAGAGTTTTGAATTGAGTGGTGTGATATATGATATTTGATTTAAAAATTTACAACTCATAATCAAACACACAACCCAAAATTCTATTCAAAACTTATAAAAAATTCAAAAAAAATCAAAAAATGTTTTTTACTTAAATATTATTCCGATCAACCAGCCGGACATTCGGGAAGGTTCGAAAGGATGACCGAATAGACATATTTTCAAAAATAGGTATGAAATTAATTTTTCAAATTACTTAGGGTTGTTTGGAATGATTTAAATAAGTGTATTTTTTATCTTTTTACGAAAAGATGTACAGAAAAATAAAAATATGATGTGATAAAAAAAAGATAAAAAAATAAAAAGATAAATTATTGTATAATTGCCAAACTTGACCGGACCAAATACAACACTCAAAGATCAATCTAAAATTACGTTTTAATAATTCCACCAAACACAATTTTAATTTTTTTTACATTTTTTAATTTTTCAATATAAAATCATGAATTTAATTTTTTTTTATCTATCACGATCCAAGCGGAGGGTGACTAACGAACAACTTTTCCGTCAGAAACCCCCAAACTGTCAAATCAACCTCTCTCTTTTTCCACAAATCCCAACTTTGGCTTAATCAAGAAGACTTTGGAGTTAATAAAGTGCCCAAATCATATGACACGTGGACTAAGTTGTACACTTTTTTGGTGACACCTGTCACTTGGTAAACATTGTCGGTTTACCAAAACGTTTCAGTGAAGCTGTATGAAGTCATACACCACCATTCAAGTGTTACAAAGAAATTTGCTTGTAGCAAGAGTAGTTCCAACATCTCACATGCAAGAACATGATGTACACAAACACAATGCGTGGGCCACAACAGGAGTAAAAAATTGAGAAAATTACTCAGTGGTATTTTTACAAATTATTTAAAAATTTGATAAAAAAATAACTTAATTATTAATATTTGTAAAATTTGCAACTGATGTAATTTTTTTTTTAAATATATTAAATTTTAATTTTTCCTAAAAAGAAGAAAGAATCATAAAGTGTGAATTTTAAAAAATAATTATAAAAGCATGAGAAGTAGAAGTAAAATTTTATTCTTGCATTATTATAAATTTATAATTATTTTTAGAAAAATATTATTTGTCATTGCTTTTTTTTTGTTACTTTTTTATATCATATCTAAGATGATTATCTTACCATACAATTCGGTGATATAAAATGGTAAAAAAAAATTGATATATAACAATCCTTTTACTTTTTATTTTTCACTAATTTATATTTATCCTAAAAGAAACATCAATGATATTGATATGTTGTTTTTGAAATAATAAGAGAGAAATATTAGACATGCACAAAGTAAATCTTACATTTTGTATGATAACTTTCATGAGAATGATAATAGTTGTTTTGATTGAAAATGAAGCGACTACTATAAATCATATTATCTATAAAAATTTTGAATGTAATGATGATGTCATTATTATTGACATGCAAATTTAAG